ATAATGATGATGAGGAGGAGGAGGAAGAGGACGGCGAAGATGGTGGTGAAGAAGAAGGACAACCATCTTGACATATTCATTCACACATCCCTTCCCCATCTCATGTACCTAATCAATACTCTACACCGACTAGTGCATACCTTCCGACGTTTGATGCGCCATCGTTTATTCCACATGTACAGCCTACATATGAGACACGTCCCACCTTTTTAAATTCACCAATTGATTGGTTGAACAACTTATTAGGATCAGATGTACAAAGTGGGATGGGGCAAGAAGCAGGGCCAAGCACACAACCGCCAATTGAACATAGGCCGAGACGGGATATACATTCTTGACGCTGTGGGACAGGGAGTCACTTCGTGGTGCCAGGTCGACACTATGAATCTGATGAATCAGAATAGTTGTATGTAATTAGTTTTATCAATTATGAATTGAATTTGTACTTTTAAATTATCAATCGAATTTGATATTATGTTATTATTATCAGGTACTTTTACTATTACGTTTCAATAATTCAATAATTCAATTGATAATTTTGAATTAAGTTATCAATTGAATTTATAATTTGTAGTAATTTGTAGTAATTTGTAGTCCTAAGCTTAAACTTTACTATTATGTACGGAGTACTTATTATTTGAAATTTTACTTTTTTTTCAACATTCAATAAATATTCCTTTCAACATTCAATTAATTTGTACTTTTCAAATATGATGCAAGACATATACGACAAATTCAGAATCAATGTCAAGTACAAAAAGGCGTGGTATGGACGTTTGATTGCCCTTGAACGAAGATTCGGGAATTGGGAGGCGGCCTACAATGATTTACCCAATTTGTTGCTTGCGATAAGAGAATCAAATCCGGGGTCAGTGGTAGATTTCCAACCAAAACCAACCAGTCATGATGGTACGTATGAATTTCATCGCGCGTTTTGGGCTTTTAAAGCTTCCATTGATGAGTTTGAACACTATATGTCTGTAGTATCTGTTGACGGTACTCACTTGTACGGAAAGTTCAAGGGCCATCTCCTGATTGCAGTCGCCATGAATGCTAACCGTGAGATTTTCCCTCTCGCGTACGCAGTTGTGGAAAGTGAAAACACAAATAGTTGGTCCTGGTTTTTGGAACACATTATGACTTATGTTGTCAGACCAAATCGGCATGTGTGCATAATATCAGATCGACACCCTGGCATCCTAAGTGCCTATCAATCAGTACCTCAATTGAAAACCTCCCAAGTTTCGAAGCGGTTCTGCCTCCGACACATTAGAAGCAATTTCATGACAAAATTCAGGAGCACTGAACTGAAAAAGCTTTGTAGGCAGGCCGGGAGTACACCCATGGTGAGTGAATTTTACCAAACAATGGCTCAAATTCGTGCTACAAATGAGAATGCGTTCACGTATTTGAACGCTATTCCACGTGAAAATTGGGCACTGTGCTTCGACGATGGACGACGTTACGGCATCCTCACAACAAATCTTTCCGAGAGCTTCAATAACGTTCTAAAGGGATGTCGAACACTTCCAATCACCGCGCTGGTTAAGGCAACTTATAACAAAGTTGTCCAACTATTTGCCGATCGACGTAGGGTCGGTCAGATGTGGCGGCAAGCTGGGTTCCTATATCCGCAAAATATATGGAAAGATATTCTTGAACGTTCGCAGAAAAGACATCAGTGCACTATTGTCCCGCATAACCGAACAACGGGAATATACTCTGTTTCCATCCGTGATTATCCGCCGGTAATGGTAAATCTCTCACGTTGCGAATGTGATTGCGGTTTTTGGAAGCAAAATGGATTTCCATGTGTGCACGCCTATGCAACATGCCATTTCTTAGAAATAACTGTAGATCATCTCATCCCGGACGTGTATAAATTAGGTGCGTACATCCGTACGTATGCTACAGATATTATGCCTATGCATGACGTAAGTGCGATGCCTGATACCGGATATGTAGTGATACCGCCTCAAAGTGCTCGACGCAGTCAAACCGGTAGGCCTCAAAGGACACGATTTACAAATGAAATGGATATGCGTCCGAGTAGGAGAGCACAAGAGTAAAAATTTATATGTATTTTGTATCTCTTTTCAATGAATAAAAATTTGTATTTCTTTGTCATGTTGTTTTTCAAGAAGAAATGAGTAATGAAATTTTATATTATTTATTTTTGCGGGAACATTGAATAAATTCGTAATACAATATAATTAAATATGTATATTCACTAATACAATCACTAACCTAACAATTGATTATTTTTTACTTAATAAAATAATACACATCATATCTTTCCAATTACAAATATCACTAAATTTATTCATTTTTGTACCCCAATTAAAACACCCAAAACACTTCATCAAACACACCTTATTATTTATCCCACTTATAAATTTATATTGAATTAAAAATATATCTCTGAGTACAAAAGTTATTGCAACCAAAGATTAATCGGGTCAACTTTTACTCTTCCAAATCTTTTTTATTGTTTTCAAGTGTGAAAAAAATAATAGTTCATTTATCCCACAAACAAATTTTCATTTAATCACTTGTGTTTTTCTATTTAAAAATAATTCCACAAAACCTTTAATCAAACCCACTCACAACTAGTTGGTACGTACTAACGTACGTAGCATGGCCATGCGTACCAAAAAATTAAAACCTATTTTTCGGATTAGAGTAATCCGTTTTTCTATTTCCCCAAGCAACCCTAGTATTTTCGGATTCCACACCCACGTTTCCCGCAAACTAAGAAACCCTAAACTTTTTCCTGTATTTTAGACCACCATGCTATCCATTCCCGCATTATAAGAAATCCACCCGCGTCCACAAGCCATTATTTTGAATCAACATTGCTGCTTTCATCGATGATTTTCCTATATTTCGTATCTAATTAAAATTAGTAAATTTCCCCCCAAAACATTATGAAATTATAGAGACATTGAATTATCAAGAGCTTGTATTTTTTCACACACTAAAATTCAGGTCAACGTACTTCACAACACATGTGTAGCAAAGTGGGATTGTAAACGAATTGAATAATTTTGATTGGATTCGTGATTCAAATACAAAAATGTGGACGCAAATAAATAAAATATGAAGTAGACTACGATTATGATTTTCTATTCAAATAGTCTTCCAATATGAATACTAATACTATTCTATTCGAATCCAATTATATTTGAATATATTTGAGTTATATAAGAATATATTCATTTATATAGCATATAAAACTTTGTATAAATAGTTGTAATACAACACATAATATTAATAATATAATATTAATGCACTGAATTTAGAAGATATTTGACATTTTTGTTACGATTATGAATTGAAGAATCTAATTTAAAAATTATATTTTCCATTGACAAAGAAACCTAATGGACCAAGTTCTGGTCCAGATCTAGGACTGTGACCAACGTAACTCTCTTACGTTTTTTGTAGTATATGTATTGATTTATGCGATTCAATACTACTTTACTGTAGTTTCTTATATGCCATTCAATTTTTCACCCTAGTTTAATTATTATTAAGAAAGATATAGTTTTACATTAAATAAACACGGCCATAAACTAAGATATGAACTTTCTTTTAGGATAAATGGTGCACAAATAGCCACAAAGTTGCTAATTATAATGCAATGATAATGTGACACTTATTTCAATATCCATACTTGGAATAAAGTTCTTCAGTTTTGATAGTACTCGAAATAAAATTGGTATTACTTTTAGAATATGCATTTCAAAAAATTGTTTCTTCTTTTTAATGCAAGATAGTTTCTTTCCGGCAGTTTGCATAACATTCAAATTGGTATTTCCCCTTTTTAATGCAATATTGTTTCTTTCTAGCTAGAGTTTCTATAACATTCAAATTTAAATACTTGTCTGAAAATTAATAACGTTCAACAGGATTAATAACTGTTACTAAATACTAATAGTTTTTTTGGGATCGAAAGCAGGGGCACTTGCATGCCCCCTAGCTCCTCAAGTGGTCATTAACTTATACGATTATGAATAACAATGCTAAGTACGTATTCACTTTGAGTTGCTTGGTTTGCACCCTATTTATGACTATTTCATCGATCACTTAACAAAGTGTAGTCATAATTAGGGCTGGGTCCGAAAAACCGAAAACCGAAAACCGAATCAAATTAAACCGAATCGCGACCAAATAAAACCGAACCGCTAAAAACCGAAACCGAATGTAAAAAACCGAACCGAACCGTAGTAGTTTGGTTCGGTTTTGGTTTTTACCCTTCAAAACCGAACCGAATCGAACAAACCAAACATAAATAAAATATGAAATTTTATTTGTTAAATGTAAGCATTAATCTTAATATCATCAATAATCTTTGAATTTCTTGTGCTAGAAAAATAATGTTTATGCTATGTTTAGTTTAGTTTATAAATGCATTTACACATTCATTGACCATAATAATAGAGCTATATTGATCTATTATGTCTTTTATGTATGTATGTTGCAATTTGTTGCATGATTATATGTTTTTACTAGCTAGTTATTAGTAGTAATTAACTTTTATTTTTATGTAACTTAATTCTTTTTTGTAACTTAACTTTTTTATATTGATAAAACAAATAAATATTCATCTCGGCTAAATCACACAAGACGTATGTATTCATAAACGTTTTTCAAACTAGTCACAAACATTGTAAATTAAGAATAGATATACACTTTTATCTCTCCCGCATACTCATATAATTCAAGACATATTTGTTTATTATTATTTTCTTCATTTGTTCGAGTATGCTTGCATTTTTATGTAATATCTTTGATCCCTTCAACTTTTATATCAATTTTAAATTAAATGACAAATATTTAGTAAAAAACCGAAAAAATCTGCAATTTATTTAGAATCCGTGAGAATCCATATTGGGGAGTGGGGACACCCCTAAACTTATTAATCTGCAATTTAATTGTCTGATGAAATTCAGACAGTGGACTAACAGATATTTATATTTGGTCGGCCCATTATACAGCCCATACCATTTTAAAATTTTCATTCCACCTGACCAATCAGAAATCAAATCCCGACTCCCTCCGCTGACTGTGACAAACCACTCAGTACTGCACACTGGCCTCTTAATCGCCGCCGGTGACGGTCTCCGTTCACGCCATGAAGCCTCCACGTCTTCTTTCACAGATCCTTCTTCTCATCCTTCTGGCAGTTCCCGCCTTCTCATGGAAGAAAGAAGAATTCCGGAATTGCAATCAGACTCCCTTCTGTAAACGCGCCCGTTCGCGCATGCCTGGAACCTGTAATCTACGCGCATCAGATGTCTCCATTTCCGACGGAGATCTCGTCGCCAAGCTCATTCCGAAAGAAGCGAGCTCAGAGAACGAAGATCCAGTCAAGCCGCTACTTCTGTCCATCTCAGCGTATCAAGATGGCATAATGAGGTTGAAGATCAACGAGGACCCAACTTTGGACCCGCCTAAGAAGAGATTCGAAGTTCCAGACGTTATAGTGGATGAGTTTCCGAGCAAAAGGCTTTGGTTACAGAGAATCAAGGAGGAGAGGATCAACGGAGATTCAGCTGTTTCATCTGTGGTTTACTTGTCCGATGGGTATGAGGGGGTGCTTAGGCACGATCCTTTCGAGGTTTTTGTAAGAGAGAAGGGTAGTGGGAAGAGAGTACTTTCCATAAACTCAAACGGATTGTTTGATTTCGAGCAACTGAGGAAGAAGCAGGAAGGGGAAGAATGGGAGGAAAGGTTTCGAAGCCACACTGATGCAAGACCGCACGGACCTCAATCCATCAGTTTTGATGTTTCATTTTATGGAGCAGATCATGTTTATGGCATTCCTGAGCACGCTACAAGTCTTGCTCTGAAGCCCACCAGAGGTCCTGAAGTAGATGAGTCCTCCGAACCATACAGGCTCTTCAATCTGGATGTATTTGAGTTCATCTCAGATTCTCCATTTGGACTTTATGGATCGATCCCCTTCATGATTTCACACGGGAAAGCTCGAGGAAGTTCAGGATTCTTCTGGCTTAATGCAGCAGAGATGCAGATTGATGTATTGAGCTCTGGTTGGAATTCAAATGAATCTTCAAACCTTGTTCTTCCATCCGACAAGGAAAGGATTGATACCTTTTGGATGAGTGAGGCCGGTGTTATGGATGCTTTCTTTTTTACAGGTCCAGGGCCTAAAGACGTTGTTAGGCAGTATAGTAGTGTGACAGGAACATCCTCAATGCCCCAGATGTTTGCTATAGCTTATCATCAATGCAGATGGAATTACAGGGACGAGGAGGATGTTTATAATGTTGATTCAAAATTCGATGAACATGATATCCCCTATGATGTTTTGTGGCTTGATATCGAGCACACGGATGGGAAAAGGTACTTTACATGGGACAGGGTGTTATTTCCCAACCCGGAAGAGATGCAGATGAAGTTGGCTTCAAAAGGAAGACACATGGTTACTATTGTGGACCCTCATATAAAGAGGGACGAGTCATACTATATTCACAAAGAGGCTTCTGAGAAAGGGTATTATGTCAAGGATGGTACGGGTAAGGATTATGATGGCTGGTGCTGGCCCGGTTCATCGTCTTACATTGACGTACTGAATCCAGAGGTGAGATCATGGTGGGGCGATAAGTATTCTCTTGAGAACTATGTTGGTTCAACCCCATACTTGTATGTCTGGAATGACATGAACGAGCCTTCTGTCTTTAATGGTCCAGAGGTATGCACTATTGATTATTACTTCACATTGTGTTAATTATTTCTTTTGTATTGGTCTTTAGCTATCAAATTTGACATGCATTATTTGATATACTTATGCAAGTGTTCCTTTATGCATTATTTATTGAACAGAATAGCATATACCATACAATTACTCTGAATGCATGTTTATGTTTAAATATTATGGTTTAGCAATTAAATTTGTGCATGTTTTATTTTATATCTCTTAGAAAAGAAGAATTAATAAATGAGGCCCATCTCTCATGAAAGCTTTTCACTATGAATATACACTCTAACTTATCAAATTGAATAATGTTTACCAATCGATCACTCTTAGTGCATGACACTGCACATCATATCTGGAGGATTGAGGAGCTAGCTTCTAAAATTGTGTAATATTTGAGGCTTGTGATAATTAGTACAAATATTGGAATGGAATCTGCAGGAAATTTGAAACTCCAACCTGTTCCTATATTACTACTATTGACTAGTCTTGAGGAGAGGGGCTATTTCATACATTGGCTTCATGCTTTCCAACTTTCTGATTTTGAGTTTCTGGTCATGCTGTTTGAAAGTAACATCAGTTATGAAGTTCTGATTTTGTTATTAATTCAGTGCGTTGCTCTTTACATGTTGGTTAGGAGAGGCCTTGAGAGTTGCTCCATATGGTTCCCTATGGCTATGTTTGACCCGGAAAATGGAAGGGGAAGGGAAGAATGTTAGAATATGATTATTTTAGTGATTAGTTTTACCTTGGAAAATACAAAGAAAACCGCATTTGATTAACACTTCAAAATTTACATAAATGAAATTTTTTTAGTCTTTATGTAACAGAAATATGTAAATAAAATATGCATGAACAAAAATTGAAAGCTAATCTTTTTAGTTGGAATTAAATGTTCACCCCCCCCCCCCAGATTTTCTTACATCCAAAGTTTCCCCTGTATTCTCCTCCCTATTTTCTTCACATAGCATTTTCTGGGATCCAACAGACTTTATTAGTATTTGTATAAAATATTTCTCTAATACCCAAGCATATTTTATAGAGCTTATTATCCTGTATTTGGTATGCTTATATAGTTATATAACACATGCCTTTCGTACGAAACATGTATGCTTGAACTGCTGAAGTTAAAGTTTAGTAACTGTCCTATTGTGATTTGGCATTATCCTGGCGATTCATTTACCCAGTATATTTTTTATTATTATTTTTCTGGTGCCAGGTCAGCATGCCAAGAGATTTAATACATCTTGGAGGTTTTGAGCACAGGGAGATGCACAATGTATATGGTTTATACTTTCACATGGCAACTGCTGATGGACTTCTTAAGCGAGGGGATGGGAAAGATAGACCTTTTGTATTGTCAAGGGCCCATTTTGCCGGAAGTCAAAGATATGGAGCCGTTTGGACGGGAGATAATTCAGCTGACTGGGATCAATTAAGGGTTTCTGTTCCAATGATTTTAACTCATGGATTAACTGGAATGGCATTCACAGGTTTTTAAACTTTCTTTTTCATCTTATTATACAGTTCTATAATTTGTCACCAAAAGGGGGTTTGACACCATTATAACATGTTATACTAGGTGCTGATGTTGGTGGATTTTTTGGCAATCCGGAGCCTGAGCTGTTAGTCCGATGGTATCAATTAGGTGCCTACTATCCATTCTTTAGAGGCCACGCCCACCATGACACCAAGAGACGAGAACCATGGCTATTTGGGTAAATATTACTTTCCCCTCTAAATGCTAAGTGATTGTATGCCTTTCCCTTGTTGGGATTGTGTCAAAAAACATGGCTAGTTTCCTCTTGGGGATTATCATAATGGACTCAACATTATGACGATGTATGAAATTCTGGGTGGGTAATTTGAGACCCAATATCCGTCATTATCATCATCATTAACCCAGTGCCGCAGAGGCTCCCACCTACGGTGGGGTAAGGAGGGTCGGATGTACACAGTCTTACCCTTCTACTATAGCACAGAGAGGCTATTTCCATATGACCCATAGTGAAAACCTGTTAGAACTCTGCAAATTCAACAACTACATCACAGGATTTACAAGAACACAACTGTGCAACTTTATTGATTAGGTAACAAGGCAACAATGGCCGAAGCCCCCAAAAGATAGAGATACACTCTGATCTTCCCAGAAAAGACTCAAAGTCAGAAACAGCCTCCCCACAATTCCCAGCTAGCTACTATTTATAGTAAGTAAGTAGCTATTACAAACCGAAGACAGTTATTAGCTAACAACGACTTTAACTAATAACTAACTCTACTTCCTTCTAGAATATACTTTGCCAAAGTATCTATCTTCTCCTCTCGGATTAGTAGAGTCTCTAACATTACCCCCCTCTGAAAATCCAACTTGTCCTCAAGCTGGAAGGCTGGAAATTGTTGCTTGATAACTTCTGCTTTCTCCCAGGAATCTTCAAATTCAGGAAGATCTTCCCAATGCACCAGAACTTCCGTTTCCCAGTAGCGTTTATTCTGACATCCTTGATCTGTTTAGGCCTTACTAGTAGTTCACACTCCTCTGTCATGCCAACGGGAAGGTCTTGGTATGTACTAGTAGGTCTCAAAACCTTCTTCAGCAGGGAAATATGAAATACAGGATGAACTCTACTTCCCACAGGTAATTTTTGCTTGAAGGCTACTGGATTAATCTTCTCTAGGATCTCAAAGGGTCCATAGAATCTGGGGCTTAGCTTCTGATTGCTTCTATGTGCTAAACTCCTCATTTTATAGGGTTGTATCTTCAAAAATACACTGTCTCCCACTTCCAGCTTCACTTCTCTTCTATGCTTGTCAGCTTGTTGTTTCATTAGATTTTGGGCCTTGGCTAGATGTTCCTTTAACTCTTTACGTATCTCATTCCTTTCTGCTGTCAGCCTAGATACTTCCACCACTGAAGATAGACTGACATCCCCTCTAATGATTACAGGAGGTTCTTGACCAAACAATGCTTTATAAGGAGTATTCTGCAAGGAAATATGATAGTTGGTATTATACCATAGCTCAGCCCAAGGTAGCCATTTAACCCACTGCCTTGGTTTCCTACCAGTCATACATCTCAGGTAAGTCTCCAAGCATTTGTTTACTACTTCAGTTTGTCCATCACTCTGAGGGTGATAAGTTGTACTATACTTCAATGTAGTTCCGGCTGCTTTAAACAGTTCTGACCAGAATGTGCTCAAAAATAGGCTGTCTCTATCACTTACTATAGATGTAGGAAATCCATGAATCTTCACTACCTCCTTCATAAACAATTCAGCCACTTCTTTAGCATTATAAGGATGGGTTAGTGGCAGAAGATGTGCAAACTTGGTCAATCTATCCACCACCACCAGAATAGTATCCTTCCCCATGGATTTAGGTAGCCCTCCCACAAAATCCATACTGATATCACTCCAAGTATGTGTAGGTATAGGCAGAGGTTGCAACAACCCTGCAGGTTTTAGGGCTTGGTACTTGTTCCTTTGACATATATCACAACCTTGAACAAATTTCTGAATCTCAGATCTCATTCCCACCCAATAGAATAGGTTAGATATCCTTTTCACAGTTCTGAAATACCCTGAATGACCTCCCAAAGCTGTTTCATGGTATTCTTTCAGTATTTTTGTAATCATGCTAGATCCCTTAGGTATGACTAGCCTTCCTTTGAAATATAGTAGTCCACCAGTGATCTTATAATTCTTCACCTGATCAAGTTGAGTTAGGATCTTTTGGATTAATCCTCTACACTAAGCATCCTTCTCCAATTCTTCTTCCAGTCCCTTCCATTCTTGACAGGTTACTATGGATAAGGACTTCATAGTCATTTTTCTGGAAAGAGCATCAGCAGCTCTATTTTCCACTCCTGGCTTGTATTTAATGACAAAATCATAGCCCATCAATTTGGTGATCCACTTCTGCTGATCTTCTCCCATAACTCTCTGCTCAGTTAAGTATTTCAAACTCTTCTAATCTGTTAATACCTCAAACTTCCTTCCCAGCAGGTAGGGTCTCCATTTCTGAACTGCAAAGACTATGGCCATTAGTTCCTTCTCATATTCCGACTTCTTCTGATGTTTGGGGGATAATTTCCTTGCTCATAAAAGATAAGGGTCTGCCTTCCTGCATCAATACAGCACCTACTCCCTTACCTGAGGCATCAGTTTCCAAAGTAAATATTTTGCTGAAATGAGGAGTTTTTAACACTGGTAAAGTAACCATGGCTGTTTTCAATTCCTCAAAGGCTTCTTTTGCTTTTTCATCCCAAATAAACCCATCCTTCTTCAACAGTCTATTCGGGGGGCAGCAATCTTACTGTATCCTTTGACAAACCTCCTGTAGTAACCAGTCAACCCCAGGAATCCTCTCAAGCTTTTGGTGTCCTGTGGTTCCTTCCAGTCCATCATGGCTTCAATTTTACTGGGATCTGCAGAAACCCCCTCTTCTGAAATGATGTGGCCTAAATAAACCAACTGCTTTTGACCAAAAGAGCATTTCTTTACATTTGCCACTAGTTTATTAATCTGTAAGGCCTCTAGTATCTTCCTCAAATGCTCCTTGTGCTCCTCAATATATTTGCTATATATTAGTATGTCATCAAAAAATACTAAAGCAAATTTCCTTAGAAAAGATCTGAGGATATCATTCATTAAAGCTTGAAAGGTGGAAGGAGCATTAGTAAGCTCCAAAGGCATTACCAAGTATTCGCAATGTCCTTCATGAGTTCTAAATGCAGTTTTGTGGGTGTCACTGGCCTTCATTCTGATCTGGTGATAGCCAGATTTCAGATCCAGTTTTGAGAATATTTTGGCTCCACCTAACTCATCAAGCAATTTTTCAATAACAGCGATGGGGAATTTATCAGGTACTGTGATTTTATTCAAGGATCTGTAATCTCCACAGAACCTCCAGCCCCCATCTTTCTTCTTTGCTAATAAAATGGGGCTGCTATAGGGGCTGTTACTATTTTTAATGATTCCAGCATTTAACATTTCATGAATGATTCTCTCTATTTCATTCTTCTGGTCATAGGTGTACCTGTATGGTCAGATTTGGAATGCTGGTTCCTTCTTTAATATTGATGGAGTTGGTCACAGGCTCTCTCAGGTGGAAATTCCAACTCCTTAAAAACTTCTGAAAATTCCTTCAGAACCTCTTCCCATTCCATAAGCCTTCTTTATTATGCTCCTCCTCCTGCAAATTCCCTTCACAATAAAGCAGGTACCCATCTCCCACTTGCTGAATTATTTGGGTCATGGCCTTTAATGAAACCTCAACATTATTAAGGGCTGAATCACCCTTAATCATCCACTCCTGACCTCCTTGTTTCCACTTCAATGTCTGTTTTTGGAAATTGACCTCCATATTCCCCAATTTTGTTAACCATTCCAGCCCCAGTATCATATCTGTACCTCCCAGTTCTAAGATATAGAAAGTCTGGTTGATCTCAACCCCTTGTACTGCCAATTTCAATCCCACACACCTGCCATTGTTCTGTATAAATTCTCCATTGCCAAGTGCCAACTTGAACTCTGTGCCCCTTGATTTGGTTGTAAGGAATATTCCATTTGTCCACACAACTTTGAGATATAAAATTGTGTGTAGCTCCACTCTCAATGAGTATATTCACCTTCTTTTCTTCTGCAGCCCATTTTAACCTTCCCCAGATCTTGAAAGTTCTCAAAGAAGGAATACCTTCCCTGCTAAGCACAGATGACTGCATTGCCCTAGACTCCATATAGTTTTCTTCTTCTTCAGAACTACTGGAAGCAATTTCAGGTTCTGCCTCTTCCTCAGATTCTTCAATCAAAGCCATCCTTGTAATTTTTCATCTTGCACACATGCCCCCTATTCCAGTTTTCACCACATTTGAAACATAATCCTTTCTTACTTCTCTCCATCAGCTCATTTTGAGATAATCTTGGTCCTATTTTTCTGGAATTAGAACCTTCATCACCAACTGCAGCTTTGTTATCCATACTAGGCTTCCCAGAAGGCTGTGTAAACATAGTGTTATTACTATTTTTACTTCCTTCACCCCATTTTTTATACTGAGCTCCTCTCATGGTATTATTCCTCCATAACCTCTTTCCTTCTTCCTTATTCTTCCTGGATAGCCTCTCCTCATTCTTGTTCTCAATTAACAATGCCTTATCCATGATTTCAGCAAGATTTTTAGTCTTATACAGCTTCAGTTCAGCCCTGATATCCTTCTTGAGCTCATTTAAAAAAATTCCTCTCATGACCTTGTTGTACAGATTGTCTATAGAAGCAATTGCCATCTCAAATTGCTCACAGTATTATTTGATAGAATTCCTTTGTTTCAAACTCAGTAAAGGCCCCAATGGATTCTGAACCAGTTCTGGCTTGAAGCGACGGGTCAACGCTTTCTTCAACCTCTCCCAAGTCCTCTCTCTAGCTTGTTTCTCCCACCACTGAAACCAGCTAAGAGCCTTATCTCCATCGCGAGTACTGCCACCTCGACTTTCTCTTCTTCTTCAATATTGTTGAGTCGGAAATAGCGATCAATACGTACCAACCATCCGTAAGCATCTTCACCACTGAATGATGATGATTGCGATGTCTATTAGGCGGGAAATAATCCGACTGACCTTCGGATTCTGCAGAAGAGTCATCGTGTCTCGCAGAGTGCCGATGCGAGGTACGATGCGATGCATGTGAAGCATGCGATCGATTGCGCGAACGATGTTGATCCCTCGCGTCCATTCGCGCCATCATCGCAGTTAGCAATTCGGTATATTGCTGTAGATTTGTCTACACGTTATCCAACCTAGCTTCCATCTTTGCGCGTGTCTGTACCATCCACGGTGATCAAAGTCTCTGATACCAATGTTAGAACTCTGCAAATTCAACAACTACTTCACAGAATTCACAAGAACACAAATGCGCAACTTTATTGATTAGGTAACAAGGCAACAATGGCCGAAGCCCCCAAAAGATAGAGATACACTCTGATCTTCCCAGAAAAGACTCAAAGTCAGAAACAACCTCCCCACAATTCCCAGCTAGCTACTATTTATAGTAAGTAAGTAGCTATTACAAACCGAAGACAGTTATTAGCTAACAACAACTTTAACTAATAACTAACTCTACTTCCTTCTATAATATACTTTGCCAAAGTATCTATCTTCTCTTCTTGGATTAGTAGAGTCTCTAACAAAACCGCGTCAAAAATTGCATGAACTGACTGCTACTTCATAACAAAGAGTGTAGACAGTTTAGTGAGCCGTTTTACTTTATTCCATCATACTCCCAAGCCAAGAAATAGTGAGTCTTTGGCTCCATTTCAAATGATGGAAAATTGAGAACAATATCCCTATTGAATATTTTTTTTTCTGGGCCAGCTTGTATATTTCATATTTTAAATTTTAGTGGTAGTATCTAATAGTTGTTAAACACAAACTGAGATATAACTATTCGACGGGTTGCTAAATTTGATCTAGTGAAAGAGTAATAACCAGTTAATAATCAAAATTGATATACAATGGTAAAAAGAAACTGAATACTAGTTGATAATTTTGCACAAGTGTTTTTCTTTTCCAATGTTAAAACTATAATACTCCTATGATATTTATTAGTCTTTGCTATACTAGTAATCGCTGAGGGCTTATGCAAATGAAAGCACACATAGACTGTATCCGGATTACCCATGATTAAAATCGCGTCAAAAATTGCATGAACTAACAACTTCTTCATAACAAAGAAGCGCAGACAGTTTAGTGAGCCATTTTGCTTTATTCCATCATATTCCCAAGACAAAAAATAGTGAGTCTTTGGCTCCATTGGAAATGATGGAGGTGTTAAGCCCTTCCGCATTGAAAAAATATTTTAATACAAATAACATACGGAGTATAAGGCGTTCGACTACATCTTTTATCAGAATGACCCTTTAGCATTGAAATAATGTCTCAACACTTAAGCTTTATGGTTTCTACTTTTATTTCAGAGAACGAAACACTGAACTTATCAGGGACGCGATACACGTTCGCTATATGTATCTCCCTTATTTCTACACACTTTTTAGAGAGGCAAACACCAGTGGCATTCCAGTTGCACGTCCCCTCTGGATGGAGTTCCCAGACGATGAAAAAACTTTCACCAGTGATGATGCATTGATGATTGGAAGTAGCCTTCTTGTCCAAGGAATTTTCACCGAGGTTATTCTTTTTATTAATATACGATTTTATATTTTCACTTTTGTTGATGATGAATTAAAGTACTCTGTCCCACTTTCTCTATATCACTTCTGTACCACTCATTCTGATTGGTCGATGTCTCTAATCGTTAATATAGCAAAAAAGTACATTGATTAATATGATTCACCCGATCAGAGTGAGTGCCACACTAATGTGGAAAGATGTGTTAGAGTTTCAGTTCATATGTTTCTCTGTAAATAAAACAATCAAATGCTTTACAACAGAAAGCCAAGCATGTATCAGTGTATCTTCCTGGGGATGAGTCATGGTATGACATTAGAAGTGGAACTGCATATAAAGGGGGTCTGACCCACAAACTTGAGGCTCTTGAAGAGACAATACCAGCTTTCCAAAGGGCCGGAACCATCATACCTAGGAAAGATCGCTTTCGTAGAAGTTCCACGCAGATGGAGAATGACCCTTATACCCTGGTAATGCTCTTGAACAAAATGCAGTAATGAATATCACACCACTATATTTGATATTTTGATCCAATGCTTATATTAGTTTTATTCTGCACTCTAGTTCTGCAAACCACCCTTTTATTGATGGATTTGCTCAAATTTGACTCTTCCATCTCTCTTGGCGATCTAAGCATCACGTCACTTATTCTGAGTGAATTGTGGAATTGTCATGGAGCTGGATTAATGAAGTGTAGAAATAACTTTTAAAACAAGCATAAAGGTTGCATGCATTTATTGTTCTATGGTGGACCCTACAAAATATGACGATGATAAAGTAGACGATCGTGATAATGCAGCAAAAAGGTCATAACATAGCCCTTGAGGAGATTTACAATAGGATAAAGGGCAGCCCAATGCACATTGGTGTCCCCACAAGGCGAGGGCATGGAAGGGTCCCACCACAAGGGTGTACAAGGAGCAAGCCTTCCCTTGTCATTAGATGTATAATAGGATAAGGATGAGAAAATGGTTGCTTCAAAGTTAAAACAAGGTTGCAATATACAACATCATAAGAATATTAAGAAAAGAGATGCCTTTTGGTCCTTTTTAGACTCTTATGTCTTTTGGGTAAAAAGATACTCAAAAGTGATCAGAAAGTAAAAATACTTGGGTGTAGTTTGGTAATATTTAATGAAATTAAATGTGATATAATCAAAAGCATGCATAATGTAAAGTTCATAGTAAAAAAATGTACTCTGTATTTGATTATGTATTAGAGCTTACCTTTAAACATTCTGTTTTGTCATAGCTGAGAAGTAAATACTTGGCGGAAATCTTTGGTGCAGGTCATTGCTCTTAATAGTTCCCAGGCTGCTGAAGGAGAGATCTACATTGATGATGGGAGGAGCTTTGATTTCCAAGAAGGGGCCTACATCCATCGCCGGTTCGTTTACTCCAGGGGGACTCTAACATCTTTGGATCTGTCCCCATCCTCTGTCAGTAAAAAGTTTTCATCAGACTGCACAGTGGAGAGGATAATCTTGTTAGGATTATCTGCTGGTCCAAAAACTGCCCTTGTTGAGCCTGGGGATAAGAAACTACAAGTTGAAAGTGGGCCACTTCTTCTCCGTGCTGGCCCACCATCATCTGTCGTCACTGTCCGCAAGCCCAATGTGAGAGTAGCCGATGATTGGTTGATTAAAATCTTGTAAGCTATAGAATACACTGAACTTCTTGGTGGTGTCATGGTGAATGATGGACGAAGGGCAATTAGGTCAGTTGACACTTGACACTCTTGTTTGCCTCATCTTTCTTTCATCATGCAGCTGCTGGATTAGTACAGTAATTCCCACAGATGGTTATTACACTAATTTTTTACACTTGGTCAAGAAGTTGTGGGTGATGATGATAGAAATGCAGAGATTGAGTAATGCTTCTTCATAATAGGAAGTTCTTTTTGTTTTGTTGTGCTTTGAGATTTAAATATTTTTCTGGTGAGTTAAAAAAAAGCATGATTCCGGAGCTTCTTTGGTGTCTCTTTGTTTACTGAAATGACCTGTTGAGCAAAATTTGTTTTAGAATACCTAACCTAACTTCATATTATTATTATTGAAGAGGTCTTCATTAATTGATTACTTAAAGGATGATTTATTAACAAATTCATAATTTTTTTTTATAAACGTTTAAAATATTCCTATAAGCTGATCTGGAAATGACTTCTCAGAAGATGTCCATCTTTTACATGGAGTCATGGAGATGATGGACTCGGGCCGGGTCGGGCCCGGGCCGGGCCGGGCCTAGGCCCGGTCGGGCCGCCGGGTTGTATGACATGGGCCCGGGACCGGCCCGAGGGTTGGACGGGTCCGGTTCGGGCCGGGCCACCCGCCCAGGTCACGGGTCGGGTCCGGTTCGGGCCGGTTAATTTTTTTTTATATATAATTTATATTTTATAGTTTATAGTTTTATACGAGTATTAAAAACAAACTTCAATTGCATTTATTTGAAATGAGATAGGAAATACATTTGAAAATTAAAACAAACTTTAAGAGATAAACATTTTGAAAATCGTAATCAATCGGAACTTCCCGCATCTCCCGATCCTTTGGCTTTGTCACATGACTTCATATGCTTGATTGCCATCTCGAATCCGCCTGAAACCTCCATGCTACATTTTTTCTCGCACCATTTGCAAATTGCGTACCACATCCCGGTCTTCGGGTCCTTCTGCTTATCAAAATTATACCGTATAATGGCATCTTGATTTTCCATCTTAACTTCTTAAGTATAAACTATAAAGTAGATATATAAATAATAAATATAATATATTGGAGAATAAGAGAATTAGAGAGTAGAGAGTTAAGAATAGGATTTAGGAAGAATTGGAGAAGAGATGAAAAAATGTTTAAGATTAGGAGTATTTATATATTTTTTTTACCCCCCACCACCCAACCCCCCCGGACCCCCCCTTTACCCCACCCAACGGCTATATAGCCGTTTGGGTTGTCCCCAGCCCCACCCCCAACGGCTAGTAGCCCAAGAACCAATTTTTTTTTTTAAATCTTAGGACCGGACCCGGGGCCGGGTCACATTAATCCAGCACCGAGCCCGCCCCGCCCATTCCCACCGGTTCGGGTCCATACCCGGTCCCGGACCGCCCGACCGGGCCGGTCCCGGGCCCACACAGTACCGGGCCGGGTGGCCCGAACCGAATCCAACCCCAGATGGAGGAACTAGATCCCTATCAGTTTGAACTCACTTTGCTAGGCTGCACAACAACAAGTTCATGATTCCAAATTTCCAAGTGTGATGTTAACTTGTTAAGGTTCAAAATCTGATTCTCATTTTCTTTTGGCCTACATCACTATGAAAGAAAAGGAGTGAAGCTAAGCTTAACGGTTGCTTAAAAATGAAGATAACCCATGCTGATACATACTTCGTATATTGCTTTTTTACTATCACAAGGGAAATGGAGCTATGTGTCCTTATCACTTATCACATTAGTTCATCCACGGTGCGTTTGGATCATGAAAAATGCTAGAGAAACAGGAAAAAGCCAAGGACAGTAATTATATACGGAGTAATTATAATTGTAATAATATCATAAGAGTAAACATATCAAACATGGAAGAGAGAGAGAGAGAGAGAGAGAGAGAGAGAGAGAGAGAGGAGAGGGAGAGGGAGAGGGAGAGGGAGGGGGAGGGGGAGGAAATGGAAATGGAAAAGGTCACAATTAACTAAAATTGTTAGTTGAGTGTAGGGATGGACTCGGGTCCGGGCCGGGCCTAGGCCCGGGCGGACCGGCGGTTCAAGAATAGTGGACCCGGGACCGGCCCGGGTAGCCACCGGGTCCGGGCCGGGCCGGGCCGGGCCTCCGGTTTGGTTTTTTTTTTGCTTTCCTAACCCCCCCTCACTCCCCACCCTCCCAACCCCCCCCCCCCCCCCCCCCCCCCCCGAAACCCATCCTACCCATCAAGCCCAACCCGGGTGGAACCCCAAAAATGAAAAAAAATAAAATAAAAATCAATTTGGCCCGGGCCCGGGCCCGACCCGGCCGGGCCGGTTCACCAAAATTGAGACCCGAGCCCGGACCCGCCCTACCCCCCGGGCCTAGGCCCGACCCGGACCCGAGAACCGGGCCGGTCCCGGTCCCGCACAGTAGCGGGCCGGGCCGGGTGGCCCGACCCGAGTCCAACCATAGTCGAGTGTTTCACAAATTTGTTCATCAAGTGTTCAAGTACGAAAAACAATCTTTGTTGTTGATCAAATGAAAAACTTGTAGACAATTTTCATTTACACGTGTTACTCATTACAGGAACACATCGGATTTAGAATGTTTCTTTAATTTTAACTTATTTTCTATTTTCTCTCTCGCGTTTCTAATTTTTTAAATTCTCAACGCCCTTGTTAAAATTGTTGTTTTCATATCCAAATTCAACTTTTGTGAATTACGGAGTAACTTTTTTAATTTATCCTGACCTCTATTTCATTATAAAAAGTTACCATGGGTAATTTTTAGTTTTGATTATTGTGAATATGAAAAAGAGGTAAATATGTTAGGAATAGTAAGGACATACTATTTCACATCACATGTAGTGGCGGATCTAGGCATCGCAGGTCATGTATGCACATACGGTGTATATAATATCCGGTGATATACTCTGTATTATACTACGTACTCCATATAGTATGAGTTTATTATTACAATAAGAAAGGTTAAATAAAAAAATATGTATATACTTCCACCATCCTTAATTGATTGAAATTTGTGGTTTTTAAAATTGACCGATAATAAAGTTAAATTATACCTGCAGATAGTTAAATCACTTTTATAACTAAAAATTTACATATTTGGAAATACATTGAAAGTTCTAGAAAGTCACAAAGCTCAAACTGAAATATAGTAAAATTTTGATTTGTTAAATTAGTAAATAAAATGAAACTGTATTGATAAAAGAATTGACTTTACAAATCATTTTGGGAGGAAGAAAGAAGTAAAACCACACTTGATGGTTTACACACTAGCAAATTGAAGTTTTGTTTTTTACAATTTACAACTACATTTAAATTAACAACAATAATAATAACAAGTATCTTTAATAGGGAGTAAGTCTTAAATAACAAAGAGCCTTTAATTAAAAAACATCATGAGGAGTGAAATTGTTTCCTTTAAAAACCTGGGGCGAACTTGGACGTGAAGCACTTCAAAAGTTCAAAAAAGAGGATGTAGACTTACCAGGTTTCGAACTCCTCACGTGAAGCATAAAAAAGTTTAAACTCTAGTACTACTACAACTTGGGCTAAAACGAATTATTGAGGTGAAGCTTATGCATACCCTTATCAACATGTACGTCTGCCCCTGATTACATGTCTCAATTACTGTTCATACCTCCTTTTATTTTATACACACATGTATGCATGTATGTATGTATGCATGTATATACGTATGTATGTACGTACGTAAGTACGTATGTATGTACGTATGTATGTACGTACGTAAGTACGTATGTATGTATTCTTACAATGAATTCTAACTCTCATTCACTATCATATTTACTATTCTCTAAATATTACGGAGTACATTTTTATCATGTTTGCATTCTAATTTCATTTTCAGTAGAATTTTAGTGAAGTTTAAATATGTAAGTATATACAGAAAAATTATACCCGGCCTCCAATTAATAAGCTTAATTAATAAAATTAGCCTTGATTTTTTGAAATGGAGTGAGTGGGTAGTCATAAATATAATTAATGATTAATAATATAACTATATCTTTATCTTTATATACAGAAAAATTATACTCGTCCCTCAAAACTTTGCCAAAGTTGACCGGCGCGGAGAATAATAAAGTAAAAACTGTGCGGTTGAGATTTGTGCAGAGGAGAGAGAAATAACAGAAACCACAAAATAATTGATTAAAAGAGAAAGTGACAAAGTTTTTTGGGGCGTTCCAAAAAGAAAAGATGACAAAATTTTAAGGGACGGAGGCAGTATTTTGTACTAGATGAGAAATTAATACATGTGTCATTACGTACATCAAACCACGATCAATAAAAAACATGGTAAATATGATGTATTGTACTTAAATCATGGGTAGAATAGTAATCATAATTACCATAGGTAATTTTAAATTTTAAATTAATTTTTTAAACTCAGCAGACAAACCATCATCATTAGTGGAGTGGCAAAGGTAAATCTATCAAAATTTTATAAAAATATAAGAGGTACAGGAAAAGCCTCAGGGACGGAGCCAACACACTGAGTCAGACTGGACCGGTACAAAGATATTTTTCTTTTAAAAAAGTACACGTAATTTTTTACACTAAAAATATAGACATAATTAAAATTTGGATTGGGCCAGGGTCGCCCTCCCCTAGCTACGCACCTCGAAATAGGGGAAGGTCATAGACCAAAAATTTCTCCCAAAAAGGCATTCCTTCCTTGAATACGTTAAATTGATATATACTAATTATAATAATAGAAATTGCTCTAAATAGGAGCAAAAATGTTTTGAAATTCCAAAATAGGAGTATCATGTTTTTTATTCCCTTAATAGGAGTAATCTGCCAAGTTTGGAAAAAATGCCATGTTTTAAAGCCTAGTAATGCCAAACTTTGCAGAAATTTACTCATATTCAAGGAATAAAAAACAAGATACTCCTCTTTTGGAATTTCAAAACTTTTTTACTCCTGTTTAGAGAATTCTCCCTTATAATAATCTTTAATCGAAGTTAGAAGGATTGAATATTTATTTGTATTTAATTTAATACTACATCTATTCAACTATACATATTTGGGATAACATCATTAAATTACACACATTATAAGAAAAGTGTAGTTATGCTATTGGAATTGCCTTTTATTGTGAATGTATATATAAGTTTGAAAAAACTATTAATGTCACCAAATATAGTACGAGGTCAACTTCGTGAGCTGGTTAAAAGAGCAAAAGAAGACATAAATAGTGAGTATAAGATCGAGGTAATGTTTAACATATCTCTTACAATTACTGCATCTGTTATTTTATTTTATGATGATGTAAATATAAAAACCATCAATCTATTACATTAATCATTTAATTAGTTTAAACAATGAATGTATAAAACTCATTTATATATGGGAAATTGCCTTAAATAAGACTAGAAATGT